GTCCAGAGTGGATTAGCTATTGGTGGGGTTCAACACATGCCTTTTATTTAGGTTGAAATCAACACCCATGAAGTGTGTGAAGGGCTGGCAGTTGTGTGATGCCAAGATATTGAAGCTAAACTGCCTATTGGTTGATTGAGGCCATGATGGGGGAGTTGATTTGTGGTAAGGCACATTGGTTGACAAAGTTACAGTGGTGGTGATGAGAGGTTAGATGAAACATAGTGAATGTTGATAGAGCAGAAGGTCTCTGTTGGATTCTGGTCAAATTGGAAATCAATGTACAAAATTTTGCCTCTTTCATAATGCCCATCACTCAGAAATTACAAACTGATTTAATTTAGTTTTGTGTGCCCTTGGAAGCCTGGTTAGGAACCTGACCATAAAGGAGTTTGAGGATCCCATGGCTGGGAAACCATCCAAATGACCCTTGGCAACCTGGGTGACAAGTTGATGTTCTCCCTATTGATAATAATCTGATGACTGTCCGCTGCACCTCTCCCTCAATACAAAATTTCCCTTTTGTCTCCTTCAGTTTGAGCCCCCTGTTCTAGATAACAAATCCCCAAGAAAGACCATATAGTACGTGTATAACAAAGGAAATCTCAGATGGTGTAAAATATATATAAGGAAAAACAAAAGAAAAAAAAAAAAAATGAACAAAAATCTAGAACATTTGGTCAACTTATATCGTCTTCAAAACATTACAATTGAAATTTACCATCACAACTTATATATATATATATGATACCCTGTCTTCATCAGCCGCCAACAAGGAATGATATCACAGTTTCGGTGGCTATGGCAGGACCACCACCCCTGGTGCCACCAGGCACGGTATGAAGATAAGCTAATTGAGAGTTCCTCTTTGTAAATTCTTGTAATGAAATAAATAAAACAATTATTCGTATTTGCAGCTGCTATATGTAATGTTCTTGAATGTTTGCTGTTATTGACGCGCTTGTAAAAATCATAATAGACGACACGCAAATATTTCACTTGCGCATGTTAGGTCATGATGTTGCACGCATTTTATTTGCTTGTTTTGATCTCGACCAAATCCAACTTGACATGTGCTGAACAGTTTTTTGAATGCAATGTGAAATGCTTTTCAACCAATGGCCAGTGATGCCTATTTTTGAAAGGAAGGAAATGGATATTTATTGCATAAAAATACAATTATGGCACAAGGCCGAAAAAAGGGGAGGGATTCAGGCTGGTCTTCACTATCTATCTTATACCTAGTTAATCCGATTCACAACCCATTCACTCATTACAATTTGCCCGTTCACCATAAAAACTTGTCCATCACCAATCAATCCTCCATACACCATAATACCACATCCTCTCAAGGGGAACCTACGAAACGAGCCACATGCCATAAAAATTTAATGATAATAAACTATATATACAAAATTCTAAAGATGAAAAATGAGAGGGAAGGGAGATGAACCCAATAACAAACTAAACATGAACACAAAGTGAACTAAACATAACTGATGTTAGTAGGGCCCATCCAACTCTCAAGAAGGAGAGAGGCCGCTGTATTCTGCCCATTGGACAAAATCAAGAAGTTCTCTCACTAAGGGAGTGGGAAAAGGAGAAAATATATACGGACATGGGAAAGCAAAAAAATCTAACCCAGTCGAGATAAAAAGGGGCCAAAACAAACTGGGGAGGTTGGGAATCTCAATTTGGATCATAACCAAAGATGCAGCCAGGAACAGGCCAGGAACAACACTAATTTAGTTATTAGGTACACAAAGGCTTGTCTAACCTAACCAAGGGGAGGGCTCCACAGGAAACCACCCCGATGTGACGTAGGTTGACCTAAAAGAGAAAATCAAGGCTAGCCCCGTTCAAATGAACCAAGCTCGCCTGTCACCCACCTTTTGCTAAAGACTGTCAAATGCAAGCTATCAGTTCTAATCTTCATCTTGAACTGATGCTCAAAGAATCGGATTAGATCCTAATAAGATGATTGCATCGTAAGACTTCCTCCTGTCGCATCGTCCAAATCAGCATTTCTGTCTCTAATGCCACATAACAACCACTGTCAACCAGATAATAAAAAATACTGGTTTTGTGGTTTCTCCTTTTCTACAAGTATTGTTGCATATATAAATGTTAGGGGGTGGGGTTATAGCTATTTACCCAGAGTTATAACTCCCCTATACAATATTAGTATACACCAGAACTAACAACTGGGGAATTTTAGCTATAGATTTCCACAGGAACACCATTTTGGATAAATCTGAAGATTTTGCTATTTTCCTCAACTGGATGCTATTTCATGACATTACTATTCCATGTTAAAATTGTAACAGTTCAAGAGTTTTTGATCCAAATGTTTTGAAAATTTGCATCCCATTGAATTTTTTTTAATATAAATCAAGGCATCTAAAAATGATACTTAAATCATTATAAAACTAAGAGGAAATCCCATTTTGGCTTAGCATTATTTAAGAATTTCACAAATATATTTTGGGAACTGATAAAAATGTAACTGTGATACAATTCAGCTAAAAGTACTTTGATTTCCTTAATAAGCAAGGTTGACCCATTGATTTGTTTTCTACAGCTTATCAATACTTTGCAGACTGGAACTTAGAAAAAAGAAAAAAAAGGAAACATCAAATTGGATCATGTGATTTTCATACCTAATTTTAATCATTATAACCATATTTTTTCATATTTCTATGAAACTGTCCCTTCTATAAAAATAAGACATCATAAAGTTGTATGAAGCATCACATATAATTAGAGTGATGCAAGAGCCTTACACTCAAATATTGTACAACTTTTAATGATATAAGAGATCTTTTAGATTAGACAACTTGTTATAAAAATCAGGATGTGTTTTCTCAAAATGAATTTCTGTTTCAGAGTGAATTTGTTTAAATGTTGGTAGTAAGTGGTTGTGGGTAAAGCCCCATGATACTTGAAAATATCTGGTAGTATCTTTTGTTGACTTTTCATGCTCAGAAGCACATCAGGAAATAAGGTACTTGATCATAGAACCATATACCTACTTCAATTTTTATCTGTAAGTAGTATCATCCAGTTATTGATTACTGTATGAAACAAACCTGGCACCCTCACAAGAAAATCAATTTTTAGGTCGGATGCCGGAGTAACTTATGAAAGTTTGATCAATGCAGGGAAAAAAAGATTGCAGCAGGAAATTGTATTATGAAATTTATGTGCTACAAGACCATCAAAATATGGAATTGTATTCTGTGAATGATGCTGCCAGTAGTAAATTCAGACAATGATTTGTGCTAAGGCTTGACGGATTTGTGCATCCTACTTTGTCATTGCTTGCTTAACAAAAAAGTACCTCTCCATGTCTCAGTTATCATCAAAATAAGATGCGCAAATCTGTCAAACCTTGAAAAGTTCATAACAATTGTACCCTAATATTTTTAAAAGAATTGAAAAAAAAAAAAAAAAAAAAAAAAAAAAAGTTTATAAATGTTCCCAATTTGATACTATGGTAAGCCGTAAAGGATATTATTGCTGTTCTGCAAATTTTTCAATTTCATTATTCAGTTCCCTTTCGTCAACATCTTTGCAAATCATCCCTTCAAAATTTCAAAGTTTTACTTTTTTGATTACTATTTCACTAAATATTTTTATTTATTTTAATTTGGGTCATACTTCAATTAAGTCTTTTTTCTTTTTCTGTTTAAGTTAGGAAACTTAAGAACCTAAATTTTTGATTTGTAAATATAGTTTTCACTTAACAATAGCACCTAACTGCTGCATAATGCAGAATTTTAAATAAATTAAAAAAAAAAAAATGAAAACAATTCTTGTAAAAATTGATTATTCATTGAAAAATTTTCTTCGTAAAACAATAGTATCGTTAATAAATCTTATTTACAAAAGCAATTATAAGATTTTCTAATTAAATAACATAATACTTTTATTGCATTTGTTTTACAATTCAGAGCAGATTTTTGGTGAATGGACTGTTTTACAAAAAAAAAAATTTGATGATTTACATTCTCCAAGGAGTCCCGCTTTTAACTATTGAAAAAAAAAGTCCCTGCCCTAAAAATTGAATTTCTCAAAAGTTCATGAAATTAAGTGGGTGGTAACATGTAAGAAAAAAAAAAAATTTGAAAATAATTTCATTCATTTCTGAAGATGTCCTGAAAGTTTCATTAAAATCCAACAATTATTTGATGTTTGCAAGAATTTCTAAATCAATGTGTTTTTCACGGGGACACACACACACTAAATCGCCATTATTACATTAGCTGGTGGCGTAAACAAAACAAGACTTTTAACCAAAATTTCTAACGTACTAGAAAGGATTTAAAAAAAAAAAAAAAAAAAAAAAAAAAAAAGAAAAAAAGAAAGGTACTTTAACAATAACAAATATTTTGATGACAAAACTGTTTTTATTGAGTTTGGGGACTTTTTCTATATTACTATGCCCTTTTTTCACAAAAAAAGTGGAGGTACCTACAATAAAGCCACTAAGACACAATGGCTTACTGAGTGTGAGAGAATACAAGCATAACCTCTGCCCCCCCCCCAAATGTGCAAATTTAGTTGCACAAGTATCTGATTTGCAGACCTTAGTAAAGTAACCTGAATAAAATATTACCCAGCAAGAATTCAATTTGAGATATTTCACTTCTTAGCTGAATATTAATCTTATAACAGAAGTATAAATTCCCCATTATCAGGATATGTGGTTAAATGTTTTATTGAAATTCCATCAAAATCTCCTGTTTTGCGACATATCAACCACTTAGGTTATTTAATGCTGAAATCTAGATATTTTGTATACAACTTTTTTCTTGCAATAATAATGGTTTAGTGATACAATTTTTTTACTAATTATCCCCTAGTTGGAGAAATGGTGGATTTATACCTTTCCCAAGTGTATTTGCACATGAGTATAAGAAACCCAGCTGGAATTGGAATTCAGCTCTCTAATTAACAGTTCCAATCCATTCTCCATTACACCACCCACATATCCAAGTTTACAGCACCTGTTATTCCCAAGCGGTCACCCATCTAGGTACTGACCAGGCTCGATGTTGTTTGACTTCAGTGGTCATATGGAAAATGGTGTTTCAACATCATGTGAAGCCCGTTTTAGTTACAAAGGTATCATATGCACTTTGATATTACTTTTTAGAAGTTGTACCTGTGGTTATTCCCCAAACCATTTTAGTTTTTATTGCATTGCACACTCCTTGCAAAATCCAAACCTGCATCCCTATCATGGAACTTGGTAACATCATAGATGTAAACATGCATGGCGTGTGGGAGTAAAAGGGTGCTAGTGAAGCCATGACTGGCCTAACAAGTTGGCAATGGATATAATCTCACTATTTATACTAACAGAAGACTTCAATATGGAAAGACTAATGTTAATTGGAAAGGAATTGACAAAGAACAACAATTAGGGACAACAATTTTAAATGTATGCAGATTGAGGAGCAAAACCAAAGAAATCGCTGACCTGATGCAAGAGAGGATGTTTGACATTGCCAGAAGGACAGTAGCAGAAGAATAGTCAACGAAGAGTACACACATACACATATATATTTTTCTTCATACTGTCGGATCTATATCCATATATATATATATATATATATATATATATATATATATATATATATAGTGGTGACAATGCAGGCATATATAGTGTGGTGTTCATGGTCAGCATCAGAGTCTCACACAAAGTATGTCAATGACAGGAATATCACTATCTCTGAGGCTAGGAGATAAAGACCGGGATAAGTCCATGCTCCACAGAAGTTGTCTTTCTGTCAGACTGACTTCTGTGAAGAATGGGAGACAACAATAGACCATATGCTGCACAGAGAAACATGAACATCATGGGTGATTTCAATGGTCATGTTGATGTAGGCAGAGGTGGACATGAGAGCATTATTGGTGCACACGGAAATGCTGACAAGAGACTTAGATTTACAAGTAGAGTGACCATCAAGAGGGCACAAAATACAGAGATATACCACTTCTACCACACATTGTGAGTGTTGGAGACTAACAGCACCAACCAAGATTCAAGCAAATGAGATGAGGAACCTTCAGTTGACTAAGAAAGTTGCATCTCAGAACAAGATGAGGAATGATAATATTAAACAGAAACTAGATGTGTAGAGTATCCTGACAGTCATTGTGGAAGCTCAGCTGAGACAGTATAATTATGGTTGTCACATGGATGATGCAAGAGTTCCAAAACAATGGTATAACTAGAAACCCACAACAAGAGAACAGTGGGATGACCCAAGTAAAGATGGATCTGGAACATCACGGAAGCAGTAGAACAACGAGGGTCCACCATGGCAGAAAGCAAAGGGATTAAGCTGTTTCAAGACAGGAGTGCATCAAGATGCTTCTGGACTGATATCATTGAACAAAAGTTGTATTTTTTCTGCTCTGATAGCGGAGTGGGAATTACACACACATAAGATATATATATATATATATATATATATATATATATGAAATGGACTAAGCCCAATAATTATTTTAATATATTTTCCGTTTATATGTTATTTTTATAGATACAAATATTTAAGTAAATGCTCTGTTTATAATAAACAGTATTAACAACATTTACTGGCCTAAATGTCCGAGAAATCTCATAGAAAAAGTGTCCTCCAACAAGAATCGAACTTACATCCTACCCAGAACTGTCATATAGACTGATGTGCTATACCATTTACCTACAAAGTCTGGCTTGCAAGATTAAATAACTGTTTAACCAGACGCTTTCTCTGTAGCTAAATGATATAGCATGTCAGGATATATGACTGTTCTGTGTAGGATACGAATCAGATTTCTGTTGGAGGAAATGTTGATGTTTATTATAAACAGACCCTTTACTTAAATATTTATATCTATAAAAATAACATATAAACAGTGTGTGTGTGTATATATATATATATATATATATATATATATATATAATTATTTATTTAAAAATTATAACAAATGTTATAAAATCACTACAAAAATAGCCATTTTGTTTATATATATATATATATATATATATATATAAAATGTTACATCAACCACTCTCCTTAGCTCTCAGCCATTTCAGTGATTTTTAGATTTCCCTGATTATAAACTTTTACGACCATGGTTTCAGTCAATCTGGAAGCTTAGTTCTAAAATTAAATGATGTTGAGTAAAGGGTGCATTAATGGACATTGATATCTCTGAATATCATTTTGCCTAAACCAGTGGTTCACAAACAGTGTGGTGCACCTCATGGGTGCAGTGGAAAAGGATAGCAGGTGCGGTGCGTGTAGATGAGAACAGAGTTATCTGCCCTTGTGAAACAAGCTGGGACAGAGTTTCCTGCCCTTGGCATAGTATATAAAGCAGGCCGGTGAACGCGGCCGGGCGTGTTTTACTGACATACAGTATCGGGCGTGTTTTACTGACAGTATCGGACGTGTAACACGCTCGTCACACTTTACATGGTGTGGATTTTTACCAAACTACAATAGACACTGGGCTTACCCACTGCCAAGCACCATGGAGCAGGAATATTTGAAATTAATGAATCAACTTGTGGAGTTACAGAAGGAAAATATCAAAATCAGAAAAGAAATGATTCGTGGACACACCAACATTCTGCAGGTTATGAAACCAGAATGACCCTCGATAGGGCTGGATATAACAGAAGGAGAATGGGTGTTTTTGGACACCTGGACCTGATACAAAGATAAGTGCAGATTGGAGGACCCAGTCGCAGTCCAGAATGAATTATGGGCAACGTGTACACCGGAAACAAATCGTCTATTATTTGAGCTGATAGGTCCTACAAGGCTCTGCTTCAGAGGAGTTTCTATTACAACAGATACGACTTATTGTGGTGAAAGGATTACATAAAGAGGTTCACTGGCAGAAGTTCCACTCCATGACGCAGAACGAGGGTGAGTCCATAATACACTTTCTATCTAGGTTATGTGGTCAAGCGAAATTTTGCGAGTTTAATGTTCAATGCCCAAATGAGCAAACTTGCAGGCAAAAAGTGGATTATTCGGAAGATATGGTTGCTGGATAGATGATAGCCGGGCTCGCCAATTTAGACCACCGAAATAAAATATTGGCAGAGGCAGCCTCGCTCATTACTTTGGACCGGAAGTTCAATCGTTTAGTTTGCCTCGAGACGACATACAAGTCTGCACCCCACTTCCACGACACCACACGCCCTCTTGCATCATTCAACATGCAAAGAGACTGAAACCTCTTCAACTCTACAATGGCAAAAGAAATATCTCCGTGTGGATGCCCTCGCAGAGTGCCTGTCCCAACAAAGCCCAGAAGAATTCCATTCGAACCCATCCAAGCCAACAGAAACAAGATGCAACAGTGGCTACTGGAATACTTCAAGTCCAGCGCATTTAACACATGCCCACATCAACCACTGCAAGCAATGGAGGGCAAACCATTGGACATCGACTTCATCCCAGGTGCAAAGCTGACAGCAGTTCATATGCCAATACCTGTCCCACACCATTGGAAGAAAGAGAAAGAGGGGCTGGACAGGGATGTCCCCCTATGCATAATAGAACCAGTGCCAGTAGGCACTCCAACTGGTGTTCAAGGATGGTGGTTGCACCAAAAAAGGACGGATTTCCCAACGATGCAACCAGGAGGGAAACACACCACACATCATCCCCATTTGACCAGGAATTCAGGATACCAGCACACAGGAGAAAAACGGTCCTTGATGCGTGGAACAGATACCACAACCTACCGTTGTCTCCAGCCGCATGAAACGCTACCACATTCATCACAGAGTGGGGCCAATACAGATATTGCTGGGCCCCTCAAGGATTCCACGGATCAGGGGACGGATACACCCGTCGGTTCAACGACATCACTGTGGACATGACCCAGAAAACCAGGTGCATAGACGACAGAATCCTATGGGACAATTCAATAGAATCCTCGTTCTGGCATACGGTCGAATACATTAGCCACTGTGCAGACAAGGGAATTGTATTCAACCCTGACAAATTCCATTTTGCTGAAATGGAGGTGGAATTTGCAGGATTTTTGGTCATCAACGATGGGATCAAACCCAGAAAAAGAATGATGGAAGCTATTCTCCACTTTCCCACACCTACGAACATTACCGGCATCAGGTCCTGGTTTGGACTCGTGAACCAGGTGTAGTATGCATTTTTTCAAGCGGACATTATGGCCCCATTCCGGGAACTGTTAAAAAACAAAAAATAGAAAATTTTATTGGGATGAATCACTTGAATGCCTATTCCAAAAGTTAAGAGTGATAGTGGAGAAAATTGAAAAGGGTGTTCGAACATTCGAGAGGAACAGAGCAATGGGGCTGGGAACAGACTATAGCAAAACTGGAATCTCATACTTCCTATTTCAGAAGCACTAAGTGCCCCGGTGAATTGAACATGGATTGCAGAGATGGCCACTGGAAGGTCATTCTGGCTGGCTCCCTGTTCACCAATGACACTGAATCACGTTACGCACCAGTGGAAGGAGAGGCTTTAGCCCTTGTTTACGGACTAGAGATGTCGGATGTTTGTACTCCGATGCCCGAACTTACTGGTAACAGTGGATCACTTACCGCTGGTAAAGATATTCTCAGACCCTTGGCATAGTACATAAAGCAGACCGGTGAACGCGGATGGGCGCGTTTTACTGACATACAGTATCGGACGTGTAACGCACTCATCACACTTTACAAGGTGGAATAATTGAAAGACAATCAAAGATTTAGAAAGTTTCAAATTCATATTCCAAAAATAAACATTTCAAAATTTAAAATATTATAGATTACTTGTAATTGCATGCACGAGTTCCAGTATAAATAGTTATAAGTAATTATTGATGATTTTAGCAGAGATATTTTTACATTATATCAAGTATTAAGAATATAGTAACTAGTGTCTGCAAATTGAAGGAGAGATTTATCAATGATAATGCTCCAACTTCAAATCCACACCTATCTCCCTTTAACCATCTCCATTTTTTATTTTTAAATGTATACTTTATCACATAAAATTTGGTGAGGCATGAGCAAATTTTCATTCCAAAAATGTGGTCCAGAGAAAA